CGACACACACTCGTCAGCTTCATCTATACAGCGACACACACACTCGTCTCCTTCATCTATACAGCGACACACACACTCGTCAGCTTCATCTATACAGCGACACACACTCGTCAGCTTCATCTATACAGCGACACACACTCGTCAGCTTCATCTATACAGCGACACACACAAGTCAGCTTCATCTATACAGCGACACACACTCGTCAGCTTCATCTATACAGCGACACACACAAGTCAGCTTCATCTATACAGCGACACACACACACACACACGTCAGCTTCATCTATACAGCGACACACACACGTCAGCTTCATCTATACAGCGACACACACACACACACACGTCAGCTTCATCTATACAGCGACACACACACGTCTCCTTCATCTATACAGCGACACACACACGTCAGCTTCATCTATACAGCGACACACACACGTCAGCTTCATCTATACAGCGACACACACACGTCAGCTTCATCTATACAGCGACACACACACTCGTCTCCTTCATCTATACAGCGACACACACACGTCAGCTTCATCTATACAGCGACACACACACACGTCAGCTTCATCTATACAGCGACACACACACTCGTCTCCTTCATCTATACAGCGACACACACACACGTCAGCTTCATCTATACAGCGACACACACACACGTCACCTTCATCTATACAGCGACACACACACACGTCTCCTTCATCTATACAGCGACACACACACGTCAGCTTCATCTATACAGCGACACACACACTCGTCTCCTTCATCTATACAGCGACACACACACACGTCAGCTTCATCTATACAGCGACACACACACGTCAGCTTCATCTATACAGCGACACACACACGTCAGCTTCATCTATACAGCGACACTCACACTCGTCTCCTTCATCTATACAGCGACACACACTCTCGTCTCCTTCATCTATACAGCGACACACACACGTCAGCTTCATCTATACAGCGACACACACACGTCTCCTTCATCTATACAGCGACACACACTCTCGTCTCCTTCATCTATACAGCGACACACATTCGTCAGCTTCATCTATACAGCGACACACACACGTCAGCTTCATCTATACAGCGACACACACACGTCAGCTTCATCTATACAGCGACACACACACACGTCTCCTTCATCTATACAGCGACACACACACGTCAGCTTCATCTATACAGCGACACACACACTCGTCTCCTTCATCTATACAGCGACACACACACACGTCAGCTTCATCTATACAGCGACACACACACGTCAGCTTCATCTATACAGCGACACACACACGTCAGCTTCATCTATACAGCAACACACACACGTCAGCTTCATCTATACAGCAACACACACACGTCAGCTTCATCTATACAGCAACACACACACGTCAGCTTCATCTATACAGCGACACACACACGTCTCCTTCATCTATACAGCGACACACACACGTCAGCTTCATCTATACAGCGACACACACACACCTCTCCTTCATCTATACAGCAACACACACACACGTCTCCTTCATCTATACAGCGACACACACACTCGTCTCCTTCATCTATACAGCGACACACACTCTCGTCTCCTTCATCTATACAGCGACACACACACGTCAGCTTCATCTATACAGCGACACACACACGTCAGCTTCATCTATACAGCGACACACACACGTCAGCTTCATCTATACAGCGACACACACACGTCAGCTTCATCTATACAGCGACACACACACGTCAGCTTCAACTATACAGCGACACACACACGTCAGCTTCATCTATACAGCGACACACACACGTCAGCTTCATCTATACAGCGACACACACACGTCAGCTTCATCTATACAGCGACACACACACGTCAGCTTCATCTATACAGCGACACACACACACGTCAGCTTCATCTATACAGCGACACACACACACGTCAGCTTCATCTATACAGCGACACACACACGTCAGCTTCATCTATACAGCGACACACACACGTCAGCTTCATCTATACAGCGACACACACACACGTCAGCTTCATCTATACAGCGACACACACACACGTCAGCTTCATCTATACAGCGACACACACACGTCAGCTTCATCTATACAGCGACACACACACGTCAGCTTCATCTATACATCAACACACACACGTCAGCTTCATCTATACAGCGACACACACACGTCAGCTTCATCTATACAGCGACACACACACGTCAGCTTCATCTATACATCAACACACACACGTCAGCTTCATCTATACAGCGACACACACACGTCAGCTTCATCTATACAGCGACACACACACGTCAGCTTCATCTATACATCAACACACACACGTCAGCTTCATCTATACAGCGACACACACACGTCAGCTTCAACTATACAGCGACACACACACACGTCAGCTTCAACTATACAGCGACACACACACGTCAGCTTCATCTATACAGCGACACACACACGTCAGCTTCATCTATACAGCGACACACACACGTCAGCTTCATCTATACAGCGACACACACACGTCAGCTTCATCTATACATCAACACACACACGTCAGCTTCATCTATACAGCGACACACACACGTCAGCTTCATCTATACAGCGACACACACACGTCAGCTTCATCTATACATCAACACACACACGTCAGCTTCATCTATACAGCGACACACACACGTCAGCTTCATCTATACAGCGACACACACACGTCAGCTTCATCTATACAGCGACACACACACACGTCAGCTTCATCTATACATCAACACACACACGTCAGCTTCATCTATACAGGGACACACACACACGTCAGCTTCATCTATACAGCGACACACACACGTCAGCTTCATCTATACAGCAACACACACACGTCAGCTTCATCTATACAGCGACACACACACGTCAGCTTCATCTATACAGCGACACACACACGTCAGCTTCATCTATACAGCGACACACACACGTCAGCTTCATCTATACAGCGACACACACACACACGTCAGCTTCATCTATACAGCGACACACACACGTCAGCTTCATCTATACAGCGACACACACACGTCAGCTTCATCTATACAGGGACACACACACACGTCAGCTTCATCTATACAGCGACACACACACACGTCTCCTTCATCTATACAGCGACACTCACACTCGTCTCCTTCATCTATACAGCGACACACACACACGTCAGCTTCATCTATACAGCGACACACACACGTCAGCTTCATCTATACAGCAACACACACACGTCAGCTTCATCTATACAGCGACACACACACGTCAGCTTCATCTATACAGCGACACACACACGTCAGCTTCATCTATACAGCGACACACACACACGTCAGCTTCATCTATACATCAACACACACACGTCAGCTTCATCTATACAGGGACACACACACACGTCAGCTTCATCTATACAGCGACACACACACGTCAGCTTCATCTATACAGCAACACACACACGTCAGCTTCATCTATACAGCGACACACACACGTCAGCTTCATCTATACAGCGACACACACACGTCAGCTTCATCTATACAGCGACACACACACGTCAGCTTCATCTATACAGCGACACACACACACACGTCAGCTTCATCTATACAGCGACACACACACGTCAGCTTCATCTATACAGCGACACACACACGTCAGCTTCATCTATACAGGGACACACACACACGTCAGCTTCATCTATACAGCGACACACACACACGTCTCCTTCATCTATACAGCGACACTCACACTCGTCTCCTTCATCTATACAGCGACACACACACACGTCAGCTTCATCTATACAGCGACACACACACGTCAGCTTCATCTATACAGCAACACACACACGTCAGCTTCATCTATACAGCGACACACACACGTCAGCTTCATCTATACAGCGACACACACACGTCAGCTTCATCTATACAGCGACACACACACGTCAGCTTCATCTATACAGCGACACACACACACACGTCAGCTTCATCTATACAGCGACACACACACGTCAGCTTCATCTATACAGCGACACACACACGTCAGCTTCATCTATACAGGGACACACACACACGTCAGCTTCATCTATACAGCGACACACACACACGTCTCCTTCATCTATACAGCGACACTCACACTCGTCTCCTTCATCTATACAGCGACACACACACGTCAGCTTCATCTTTTCTTTGTATGACCAAAAATTACGTCGCACAATTTGCCGTTTCACTGCGTTATCATACATAAAGCAACTGACTCCAAGCACAACTACGCAATATGATAACAGAATCTTCTGAAACACATTTTTAATAATATTTTAATTAAGGGTGGTCCATTTTCCCAGGCCAGACATCACTCATCTCAAAGTTCTGACTTTTTCTCAGAATTATGAGATATAAACGTGATCGTGAGATTAAAAATTCGCAATTACATGTTTTTATTTTTTATTCCCTGGCTTCCATACTGTTCAGTGATAAACGGCTTTATTGTTTTATCTGAAAAAAAGCTGATATACAATACAATTTAAATATTAGATGAAAACCTTAAACTAAGCAAATAAGCTGAAACTGAAATAGGTTAAAGCACTAAAATTACTAACTGAAAATAAATAAAAAGTAAAACTGAAATAAAAAATAAATGAAACCTAAATATTAATATAAAAAAAAAAAACTAAATAAAAAAAAATCTAAAATTTTAATAATAAAAATAATAACAAGGCAGATTAATGGGATTTTATTAAAGTGCAGTGGAGTTTGAGAACCAACAATTAAAACCAGTTATTTATGTAATATCATAGGCCTTAAACTCTTCTGCACTTTAATAAAATCCCATTAATCTGCCGTCTGAACGCATTAATAAAGGCCTGGATGCTGATTGGTCAATCCAGTGTTCTAGTGGTGGTTCAGTGTCACTCATAGACACCAGCTATTCGCCTTATTATCTCATGTTTATAGAGATAATAATCACTGTAAAGTGTGTTCTTCTCTGACCTTTCTCGGGCTCAGAGGCGGTTTTGAAAACGTCCGGATCCGAATCCAAGCTCCCGCTGCGGCGGAGTCGACCCAGAGCCCGGTGGGTCCGGCCCGGAGACGGGAGCGCTTCTGATGGGCCTGGACCAGAACACAAGACCGTCAGCGGCTCATTAGCGCATCTCTCGTGTTATTTCTGTTGAACGTTATTGAGGCCTGAATAAAGTCGGGTTTAGCTCGCTTCATCTAACCCTCATCCTTCCCTCGGGTCATGTTGACCTGGAAATGTATTAGATTTTTGATTTAACAAATTGAGTGTTCATCAGAGGACTTTTGTCTTCTTGAACCACGAACACACACAAACATTTTTTTATGGATTCGAGGAGTTTTGTGGTTGAAATCTAAAAAAGTATCAAATCCTTCCCTCAATTTGAGCCCCTAAGGAATGAATGGAATGCGAGGAATGCTTCAGTTCACATAAAAAAACATAAAAATGCTCAAAATTCGAACTGAAAATGATAAAACTTTACTACAAAATATTTTGTAACATCTACATGAAATATCATGTGTTATTATTATTTTCCAAAAAAAAGGTCAAAGACGCCCAATGTAAGATATTTAGAGCTGAAATAAAAGGGTTATTCATGAAATTGTGAGTTATTTTGAATTTAAGTTGAAAGAATGTGAGGAATGTGCTTAAATTACTATTTATTTATTATTTATTGATCAAATCTAGTAGTTTAAAGATAAATAAAATAACAAAATAACAAAAAAATCTCCCAAAAAATTGCATTAAAAAATAGAAAACATTATCAAAATGAAATAAAATAAGCTTTCTGGACAACATTTTTTTTAGGGCATCAGGACTTTTTGACCCGCGAGAGAAGGATGAGGGGATCTCTGGGAAATAAAGCCACACTCAGTGCATTATGAAGCTCAAAACAAGAAACAGCGTCTCTGAAACACGACACGCAGAAGAACCAGTCATAAGACCATCAGGTGATGTGAATAAGATGATCAGGTGATATGAATAAGATGATCAGGTGATATGAATAAGATGATCAGGTGATATGAATAAGATGATCAGGTGATATGAATAAGATGATCAGGTGATATGAATAAGATGATCAGGTGATATGAATAAGATGATCAGGTGATATGAATAAGATGATCAGGTGATATGAATAAGATGATCAGGTGATATGAATAAGATGATCAGGTGATATGAATAAGATGATCAGGTGATATGCTGAAACAGAGACATGAAGCGAGCGCTCCTACTGTATTTGGCAGCGGCGTCCCGGCAGAGTCTCGTGGAGGAGGACGAATCTTCACTGCAAACCTGCTGGAATAAAGACATGCCATCAATCAACACACACACACACACACACACATGATCCTTGTGTTTCCAATCTAAACCACACGAGCGCTCATAGACGGAGAGTGACTGATCGACACTGACACTCTATGAAATCAACAGAAGAACCTTAAACCAGTTTTAGTGCTTGAAAACCGACCCAACACACACAAGAACACTGAAATGATCATCTGTAGACACTGCAAAACATGATGCTCTTCCTCAGTGTTTCTGTCTGGTTTCCCAGCACAAATATAAACATTCTTACATCAAGATGCATTTACTGGAGAAGCGAAATGACTGAAGATATTAAGTCTTGTTTTCTGAAAATGTGTGAAAATGAAGTGAGTTTGTGCTTAAAACAACAGAGGAGTCAGAAAAATAATCTTGTTTTCGCTTTATTTTTCTGACCCTATTGGCAGATATTTCCTGTTTTAAGCACAAACTCACTTCTTTCTTCTTATCTTCAGTCTTTCGCCTCTCCAGTAAACCAGTCTTGATTTAGTAATGTTTGGGTATTTGTGCTGGAAACCCTCTGTGTGCCGCTGGTGTTTGTTACTGTTCTTGTGTGTTCCCTGAGTGTTGCTGGGAAACACTGCCGATCACTGACACACACACACACACACACACACACACACACACACACACACACACACACACACACACACACACACACACACACACACACACACACACACACACACACACACACACACACACACACTTATCACAGCACTTCATGTAAAGCCTGACATGTGAAATAATAATCTTTTTTTATTATAATAGAGCAGTTTATTTAACCTTTAGACAAAGTCTTGCATGTGTGTTTTATGTTTTGCATCATATTTCAAACATCAGGATTTTATAGCTCATACATTCTGATATAGTGAGAATATGGAGGGAAAAACTGAGCAATAATAAATAAACCTTCCTCAAAAGCCTGATGATCATATTTGATACTTTTCTAATTAAAGATGTCTGGATAATCAAGTAAACCTGCATCAGTCCAGCTGAAATATTACTAACAATATCAAAGATATTCTTACATTTACTTAAAGTCTTAAACACACGGTTTGAAATCGCTGGTGGATCTCTGAGCTGAGTGAGTGAGTGGAGGCGGGGCTCATTTGCATATTCATAGAACCGTGCATACTAAATGAGGCACGGGTGTCAAGTTACATTCAAGATATTTTAAGGCATGAAGAGGAATAAAACGTTTAAATATGTAATTGTGGTGATTAAAGATGAGTTGTAAGGAATAAGATTATTAACTACAGGGGACTTTAATAAAAATCAGTGCAGATTTGACAGCAGAAAGACACGTAAAGCATGACGACGACGACGATTATACTAAAACTAGGGGTGTAATGATTCCCTCACGATTCGACACATATCCCGACACTGAACTCGCCATACAATATTAATGCGAACCTCCCTAACACATGATTAAAGGTCAATAGAGACGCCAGAATAACAATATTCATGATTCTGAAGCTGAAATACAGGATTGTTTTAGACGAATATGCTTGATCTCTGTCACTCAATATAAAATAATTTCGGTCACTTGTTACTGGTAACATCAGACATTTGGCATTATCAGGACCCACAATTATTCCTCCATTAACATTATATTTAGTAGTTTAATGTAGTACTGAAAATTATTTTTTCTCACACAGTAATTTTTATTTTGGGTGACCTATACACAATACATATTGTAGCATTTTTGTATTGCGCTATATTGTGACACGATGTATTGTCACACCCCTAACTAGAGGCCTGTATCAGATATGGCACAGTCGGCGTTACAGGGCTAATGATGAAAAAACACACGACTGCATTAAATCAACATCTGATGGTGTTTTCGGGTCATGGCTCACCTGATCATGTGACTTCCCGTTAGCCGTGAGAGCCGATCTCTCCCAGGGCAGTTTGTTCTTCCCTTTCCCGGCGCTCACGATCCTCCTGTGCGTCGTAGCGTCATCCGCTAGCTCGGCGTCCGCGGGGCCGCGTGACCCGGGAGCCCGTCCTCCGTTCATGACCCAGTCCAGATCGGCCCCGGAGCCCAGGTGAGGCAGGCGTCGGTGTCCCGGTCTGGGCAGCACGAGCGCGTACTCCACGGTGCCGTCGGCCGCTAGCCGCGGGAGTATGTGCCGCGCACGCCGCGCCTGAACGGCGGCCATGAGGCCCTGCGCGTCTCCCGTTAGCTCCGCGCGGTCCACGGCCTTCATGAGCGGCTGCTTCTTCCCGGTGTCCAGACAGTAGTCGAACACGGCGAACAGCTCGAGAGCCGCGTGACGCACCTTCCTCTTCGAGTCCGCGAGCGTCGGCGCCGCCTCCGCACACAGCCGCGGGATGTCGAAGTCCTTGCGCGGGTGCGTTAGCATGGCGGCGGTGATGATGTTGATGGCGTCCTCCCGAACCCTGGAGTTCCTGTGGCGGAGCTGAGCGACGACGAGCTCCAGCACGGCCCGCGGCCCCACCGCCCTCATCAGCTGCCGGAACACCTGCGCGACACACATATTAGCTATCATTCAAAATCTTAGAGTCCCCCTGTGGTGTAAATCCAGCGTTTAATGTTGTTTATGTGTGTGTATGTGGTGTTTAATACGCTTTAAGACACACCATGTGTAAGTTCATAAGTCGACAGCATTGCTGAGTATTTCCTCCTTAAAACTGCAGTGAACCAAAGACAGTCTCAAAAACACGGTTTGAAATCGCTGGTGTTTCTGACGTCACAAACGACCTTGTAACCAATCAGATCAACGTGTGATCGTCACCCAGTGGATCTCTGAGCTGAGTGAGTGAGTGGAGGCGGGGCTCATCTGCATATTCATAGAACCACGCATACTAAATGAGGCTCGGTGTCGAGTTACATTCAAGATATTTTAAGGCATGAAGAGGGAAAAAAACTTTTAAATATGTCATTACGAGGATCAAAAAGGAGTTTTTAAGGGATAAAATGTAGGGGCTTTCGCACCTTTTCATAGTTCCTAGAACTATTGGCGGAAGTTCCCGGTGTTTTAGCGTGTTCGCACCGCAGGAACTAGGAACGATTTAAGTTCTAGGAACTCCTTTTAGAGGAACTAATTTACTCCTCCTTCAGAGTCGGTCTAAACCAGCGCTATAGGAACTACAGTGACGGTAGTGTTCGCTGATTGGCCGAACGCACGCAAAACACCAGCACCCGCCATTATTAAAAAGGCAGTGTAAACAGATTATAGCCTATATATATTTTACTACAGGAACTAACTCTACGAACATGTACAACAGTGATGGATGAACCTCTTAACCTTTACGCTGAGGAGAAAATCCAACGCAACTTTGAGGGGAACAAGCGAAGCATGATTCTGTATTTCTGCTCCGCTAGCGACACTAGACACCAACCGCACGCCATACGCTAATGCCTTTTCATATACCGTCTACTTCTATGTAGCCTATAACAGTTCTACCTAATAACGTATAAGACAGTACTAGACAGATCGTAAACTAATGAACACAGAGAAAGCGAGCGCTGTTTAGCGTCGTCAAATAAACGTCCGCCGTGCCGTCAAAATAAAAGTCTCAACAACAACAAGCGCGGCTTACGTCACTTCAGAGTTCCTCATAGATATATACACTAGATGTCGCCTTGGCTACGGCAGTTCATTGGAACGAATGCGTCAATAGAGCCGCCATCTTGAAACAGGGGAGCCCCTCCTCTTTAATGCATCAGCGTCAATGTAGGAAAAGGTCTAACGGAAATAAAATCGCCATGAATGCGATTTTCTAGTTTTTTTGGTTCGTTCCAATGGTCAGACATGTATTTATCATCGAGTTAAATTTGGCTACTAGCTACTTCCTATGACAAGACCCCTGTTCCAAGATGGCGGCGGTTTTGACGCATGCTTAGAACCCCAAGGCGACATCTAGTGTATCTATGAGAGTTCCTACTGACGCTGCGAACGCAACCAGGAAAACGTTCCCATTGGAAACATTAGTGCTCGGGGAACCATCCTGGTGGCTCGCTCCTATAACGACCCGGTGCGAAAGACCCTTTTGACTACGAGAGACTTTAAGGCGTTATAAGCCATGAATCAAGCCAACCAGCGCGAGGAGAATCACGACATCACATCTTTACTTTGAAGCAAAAAAGCACAAATACAAAGACAGAACAGCTTTAGTGAGGAGAACTACAAGCCAATGAAGCGTGCGAACAGCATAATCGGATTAACAACCGTTGAGAAATAAGTCTGCTTTACATCTGCATGTACTCGCATTGGGCCACGTCACGCGCGTCTCGCTAAGAGCCTCATCGATGTATATTTACAATATGTCTTTGAAGCGCTGATCCTTGTAGCCAATCACAGACACATCCGATGAGCTCGTGAACACAACGACCAATCAGAGGCGTTTATGATTCCGCTCAACAGCGCTCAAAGCCTCACAGTTTTAAAATTTCAGTATCGACTTGGTACCGAACACTAGTGGGAACCCTGAATGAAAAGAAATAAAAGTGCTTGAACACCTGCATGTACTCGCGTCGGGCCACGTTACGCGAGTCCCCCAGCGCCCGCACGGTCACCGCCGCGATCTCCCGGTAGTGCCGGTCCACGTCGCGGTCCAGCTTCTCGATCAGCAGGTTCAGGAGCTGCAAGGTCCCGTACAACACCTTGAAGTTGCTGTCGTCCAGAAGCCGGCGCAGGAACTGGATGAACTCGTCCACGCTGGCGGAGGACACCTGCTGCAGATCCAGGTCCACCACCAGGCTCTTCAGCTGCTCCACGCCACGGGTCCGGTTCTGGAAGTTCTGCTGGTCCAGGAGCTGCTCGTGTAACTCCTGAGGGATCAGGCCATAAATCATCATGGAGTCCAGACGGAGCCGACGCACGGGAATCTGTCATGTTGAGGAGGGATGCGGAGCCATCGCAGCGACACACACCTGAGGATGGGAAGACCACAGCGGCAGAATCAGTGATGAGCTCATCCGACGGGAGACACATTAGGCCCCGCCCACTTTACCAGCTGAACTGTTCCAGAAGTATTTTTCCATTCATTTCTATTTTATTGAGAAGACTTTAAGAAGTCTTGCATGTGTGTTTTATGTTTTGCATCATATTTCAAACATCAGGATTTTATGGCTCATACATTCTGATATAGTGAGAATATGGAGGGAAAAACTGAGCAATAATAAATAAACCTTCCTCAAAAGCCTGATGATCATATTTGATACTTTTCTAATTAAAGATGTCTGAATAATCAAGTAAACCTGCATCAGTCCAGCTGAAATATTACTAACAATATCAAAGATATTCTTACGTTTACTTAAAGTCCCCCTGTGGTGTAAATCCAGCGTTTAATGTTGTTTATGTGTCTATATGGTGTTTTTAATACGCTTTAAGACACACCGTGTGTAAGTTCATAAGTCGACAGCATTGCTGAGTATTTCCTCCTTAAAACTGCAGTGAACCAAAGACAGTCTCAAAAACACGGTTTGAAATCGCTGGTGTTTCTGACGTCACAAACGACCTTGTAACCAATCAGATCAACGTGTGATCGTCAACCAGTGGATCTCTGAGTGAGTGAGTGAGTGAGTGGAGGCGGGGCTCATTTGCATATTCATAGAACCACGCATACTAAATGAGGCGAGGGTGTCGAGTTACATTCAAGATGTTTTAAGACATGAAGACATTTTTTCAGGGAAATTTTTTTTAAATACCGGTATGTAGTTTTTGTGATGAGTTTCAAATAAGGGATACAATTATTGACTACAGGGGGACTTTAAAGCGTTATAAGCCATGAATAAGACAATCAGCTACGAGGAGACTCACAACATCACGATCTTTGATTTAAAGCAAAAAAGCATTTGAAAATGAGACCAAAATGCAAAGACTGTGAACTGAACGGCTTTAGTGAGGGAAAGAACTACAATCCCATTTAGCATTGCGAACAGCATAATCAAATTAAAACCAATTGAGAAACATAAAACTGCTCATATATATATATATATATATATATATATAAACAATATATTTTAAGTTTATTGCAAAATATCTATATATACAAGTATTTTGAGAGCGTGGAGAGAACGACTCGATTACGCCATTCGCAGAGCTTCACGGGAGTGGGCGGAGCTTTGATTGTGGCGACTCTCTGATTGGTGGGTTTACTGTACAGCATCAATGGTAATGTAGTTTTCAACACGATTCCGCGATTATTTTAAAACTAAGTTGAAATAATGTGGGCTAACAGATTCAACAGAGGCAAATACCATCGATTAACATCCTCGTAGCTCACACTAGATTTATAAGTTATCATAAAAAAATTAATTTCCTTATGGAGAAAATGAATGGAGTTTGAACTTTCGGAACAGACTGTTGTGCGTTATATTCGGCTGAACTTTTTGAATGGTTAAAACTCAGGTTTTTTAAATGTTTTAAAAAGTTTTTCCTTGGTTATGTGAGTGTTAGATAAGCATTATGGTAAAGTTTTCTCTATTCCATCAAGTATTATGGGAACGTTACTTCTGAATCATTTCTCAGTAACGTTTACAAAATATCTCTAATTAAATTGTTTTAAGAAATATGTTACAATAATGATGTGTAAATGACATTTTTGAGCTAGCGTATGGAAAACAGTATTAAACACCAGATAGCTCTGAATGATCGTTCTGTTAAGGTTTGTTCCACACTTGAGGTGAACCTCTGAGGGAAATGCTGACCTGAGGTCAGTGTTGAGCTGTTAAAATAGACACCAGCTGCTGTCAAACATCGCAACTCTTCCAGCTGAACTTCACAGGAATGACGGATCTTCATATGAATGTTCGGAATGACTCGGAATCACTCGGAAGGAAAACCACTTGTGGCTCTTCTGCGGTATTTACTCGTTAATTCACTCAATATTAATCATCTGACAGCACATATACAGTATAATAACGAGACACTGAGGTGATTCTACAGTATTAATTATTCTCATTCATCTTATTGGACGTTTGTTTGATAGATTCGCTAGATGCTGTTTTTTAACCAAATCGACAACACATGAAAGAATTCATTAATAATATACCATATAAAACCCTGGTACAATTTACAACATCGAACAATATTAAAATGCCTGAAGTGTTTATGTGTTTTAGTGAAAATCAAACCTATAATTATTGCAGATCTAAATGACTCCGAGCGACTCCCGTCCCGATTCGGTTTGATTCTCGATGTGATTCAGTCTGATTCGCTGAATCTGCTCTCTCTGGTCTGGTTTGGGTCTGATTTTCGTTGTTTTTCTGTCGTATTCTGATTTTCTCGCTGCTTCCATCACAACACACAACCAAAATGGCGCTGATGTCACAACCAGCCGCTGCCATGGCGACGCGCCCTCTGACCCCACACTGTTGGCGCGGTGCACTGTGGGAGGTGTAGTTCATGACAGACAGCAGCGCTTCCACGTGAACACATATGGCCCGGTTTCACAGACAGGGTTTAAATTAAGCCAGGATTTAGTTTAATTAGCGTATTTAAGTATCTTTTATAAACGTGCCTTAGAAAACAACATTACTGGTGTGCATCTTGAGACAAAACAATGCCACTGATATATGTTAAAGGAGCTGTATGTAAGATTGTGGCCAAAACTAGTACTGCAATCACTTTCAAATTACTGTAGAGTGGTGTATCCCCTCCCCCTCCTCCCTGACTCGAGGTTGCCAGATCGGCTGCAGGATCCAGCAGGAACGTGACGAGCTGCAGCTGTGGTAACTAGAGCAGATCTGGCAACCCGGATGCCGCAACACTACTGACTTCGTGATTGGTAGATAGGTGGAGGGTGGAGCATCAGACCAAAACACAACATGACAACATCAACATCAATTGAGGGCTGCAACTGCACTTTTTAAATGACAATATCCTGGCCAGACTACTGTTGTCAGTGATATAAGTATTTGAAATGTACATGATTTCTTAATGTCTAGTGACATTTCAGGGCCATTTTATGATTAATTGAAATAAATTTCTTACATACAGCTCCCATCTGTCGGTGCAAGTTATTTTCAGTTAAAACAGATCAAACATGTATTTAAGTCTGGAACTAGGTTTAAACATTGTCTGTGAAACTGGGGTATTAGTTTCAAACTTTTACTCCACATTTTTTTGAGTTTTTCTGCTGCAAAAAAGGTGTAATTTCTGCACACAAATCCAGCAGTAACTGAGAAACCAAATAATCAAAAATTGGGCTAGAAAAACATCAGTATTTATGTTTGCCCGAATATGGTATTAACGTACTAAAATAACTTAAACTCTTTTTAGTTTTATTATTTTAGTACATTTTTACGATACTTTGTTTACCATTTATACCATACAATTAAAGATATGTAGACTTAAAATAACACTGGAATGCAGCAGTATTTGAGTGGATGTTTGTCTCTTGGATGGCTTATAACTGTCTGAGTATTTGTGTTATTGTACAATATATGAGCATACAGTAAGAGAAGTATATGAGTGTACAGTAAGAGCAGTATATGAGTGTACAGTAAGAGCAGTAAATGAGTGTACAGTAAGAGCAGTGTATGAGCGTACAGTAAGAGCAGTATATGAGCGTACAGTAAGAGCAGTATATGAGTGTACAGTAAGAGCAGTATATGAGTGTACAGTAAGAGCAGTATATGAGCGTACAGTAAGAGCAGTAAATGAGTGTACAGTAAGAGCAGTGTATGAGCGTACAGTAAGAGCAGTATATGAGCGTACAGTAAGAGCAGTATATGAGCGTACAGTAAGAGCAGTATATGAGTGTACAGTAAGAGCAGTATATGAGTGTACAGTAAGAGCAGTATATGAGCGTACAGTAAGAGCAGTAAATGAGTGTACAGTAAGAGCAGTGTATGAGCGTACAGTAAGAGCAGTATATGAGCGTACAGTAAGAGCAGTATATGAGCGTACAGTAAGAGCAGTATATGAGCGTACAGTAAGAGCAGTATATGAGTGTACAGTAAGAGCCGTATATGAGTGTACAGTAAGAGCAGTATATGAGTGTACAGTAAGAGCAGTATATGAGTGTACAGTAAGAGCAGTATATGAGTGTACAGTAAGAGCCGTATATGAGCGTACAGTAAGAGCAGTAAATGAGTGTACAGTAAGAGCAGTATATGAGTGTACAGTAAGAGCAGTAAATGAGTGTACAGTAAGAGCAGTATATGAGTGTACAGTAAGAGCAGTATATGAGTGTACAGTAAGAGCAGTATATGAGAGTACAGTAAGAGCAGTATATGAGTGTACAGTAAGAGCAGTATATGAGAGTTCAGTAAGAGCAGTATATGAGCGTACAGTAAGAGCAGTATATGAGCGTACAGTAAGAGCAGTAAATGAGTGTACAGTAAGAGCAGTATATGAGTGTACAGTAAGAGCAGTATATGAGTGTACAGTAAGAGCAGTATATGAGCGTACAGTAAGAGCAGTAAATGAGTGTACAGTAAGAGCAGTATATGAGTGTACAGTAAGAGCAGTATATGAGTGTACAGTAAGAGCAGTATATGAGAGTACAGTAAGAGCAGTAAATGAGTGTACAGTAAGAGCAGTATATGAGTGTACAGTAAGAGCAGTATATGAGTGTACAGTAAGAGCAGTATATGAGCGTACAGTAAGAGCAGTATATGAGTGCACAGTAAGAGCAGTATATGAGTGTACAGTAAGAGCAGTATATGAGTGTACAGTAAGAGCAGTATATGAGTGTACAGTAAGAGCAGTATATGAGTGTACAGTAAGAGCAGTATATGAGTGTACAGTAAGAGCAGTATATGAGTGTACAGTAAGAGCAGTATATGAGTGTACAGTAAGAGCAGTAAATGAGTGTACAGTAAGAGCAGTATATGAGTGTACAGTAAGAGCAGTATATGAGTGTACAGTAAGAGCAGTATATGAGTGTACAGTAAGAGCAGTATATGAGTGTACAGTAAGAGCAGTATATGAGTGTACAGTAAGAGCAGTATATGAGTGTACAGTAAGAGCAGTATATGAGCGTACAGTAAGACCAGTATATGAGCGTAAAGTAAGAGCAGTATATGAGTGTACAGTAAGAGCAGTATATGAGTGTACAGTAAGAGCAGTATATGAGCGTAAAGTAAGAGCAGTATATGAGTGTACAGTAAGAGCAGTATATGAGTGTACAGTAAGAGCAGTATATGAGCGTACAGTAAGAGCAGTATATGAGCGTACAGTAAGAGCAGTATATGAGTGTACAGTAAGAGCAGTAAATGAGTGTACAGTAAGAGCAGTATATGAGTGTACAGTAAGAGCAGTATATGAGTGTACAGTAAGAGCAGTATATGAGTGTACAGTAAGAGCAGTATATGAGCGTATATGAGTGTACAGTAAGAGCAGTATATGAGTGTACAGTAAGAGCAGTATATGAGTGTACAGTAAGAGCAGTATATGAGTGTACAGTAAGAGCAGTATATGAGTGTACAGTAAGAGCAGTATATGAGTGTACAGTAAGAGCAGTATATGAGTGTACAGTAAGAGCAGTATATGAGTGTACAGTAAGAGCAGTAAATGAGTGTACAGTAAGAGCAGTATATGAGTGTACAGTAAGAGCAGTATATGAGCGTAAAGTAAGAGCAGTATATGAGTGTACAGTAAGAGCAGTATATGAGTGTACAGTAAGAGCAGTATATGAGTGTACAGTAAGAGCAGTATATGAGTGTACAGTAAGAGCAGTATATGAGTGTACAGTAAGAGCAGTATATGAGTGTACAGTAAGAGCAGTAAATGAGTGTACAGTAAGAGCAGTATATGAGCGTACAGTAAGAGCAGTATATGAGCGTACAGTAAGAGCAGTATATGAGCGTACAGTAAGAGCAGTATATGAGTGTACAGTAAGAGCAGTATATGAGTGTACAGTAAGAGCAGTATATGAGTGTACAGTAAGAGCAGTATATGAGCGTACAGTAAGAGCAGTATATGAGCGTACAGTAAGAGCAGTATATGAGCGTACAGTAAGAGCAGTATATGAGTGTACAGTAAGAGCAGTATATGAGTGTACAGTAAGAGCAGTATATGAGCGTACAGTAAGAGCAGTATATGAGTGTACAGTAAGAGCAGTATATGAGTGTACAGTAAGAGCAGTATATGAGTGTACAGTAAGAGCAGTAAATGAGTGTACAGTAAGAGCAGTATATGAGTGTACAGTAAGAGCAGTATATGAGTGTACAGTAAGAGCAGTATATGAGTGTACAGTAAGAGCAGTATATGAGCGTACAGTAAGAGCAGTATATGAGTGTACAGTAAGAGCAGTATATGAGTGTACAGTAAGAGCAGTATATGAGTGTACAGTAAGAGCAGTAAATGAGTGTACAGTAAGAGCAGTATATGAGTGTACAGTAAGAGCAGTATATGAGTGTACAGTAAGAGCAGTATATGAGTGTACAGTAAGAGCAGTATATGAGCGTACAGTAAGAGCAGTATATGAGCGTACAGTAAGATCAGTATATGAGCGTACAGTAAGAGCAGTATATGAGCGTACAGTAAGACCAGTATATGAGCGTACAGTAAGAGCCGTATATGAGTGTACAGTAAGAGCAGTATATGAGTGTACAGTAAGAGCAGTATATGAGTGTACAGTAAGAGCAGTATATGAGTGTACAGTAAGAGCAGTATATGAGCGTACAGTAAGAGCCGTATATGAGTGTACAGTAAGAGCAGTATATGAGTGTACAGTAAGAGCAGTATATGAGTGTACAGTAAGAGCAGTATATGAGTGTACAGTAAGAGCAGTATATGAGCGTACAGTAAGAGCCGTATATGAGTGTACAGTAAGAGCAGTATATGAGCGTACAGTAAGAGCAGTATATGAGTGTACAGTAAGAGCAGTATATGAGCGTACAGTAAGAGCAGTATATGAGTGTACAGTAAGAGCAGTATATGAGTGTACAGTAAGAGCAGTAAATGAGCGTACAGTAAGAGCCGTATATGAGCGTACAGTAAGAGCAGTATATGAGCGTACAGTAAGAGCAGTATATGAGTGTACAGTAAGAGCAGTATATGAGTGTACAGTAAGAGCAGTATATGAGTGTACAGTAAGAGCAGTATATGAGTGTACAGTAAGAGCAGTATATAAGTGTACAGTAAGAGCAGTATATGAGAGTACAGTAAGAGCCGTATATGAGTGTACAGTAAGAGCAGTAAATGAGCGTACAGTAAGAGCCGTATATGAGTGTACAGTAAGAGCAGTATATGAGTGTACAGTAAGAGCAGTATATGAGCGTACAGTAAGAGCAGTATATGAGTGTACAGTAAGAGCAGTATATGAGTGTACAGTAAGAGCAGTAAATGAGCGTACAGTAAGAGCCGTATATGAGCGTACAGTAAGAGCAGTATATGAGCGTACAGTAAGAGCAGTATATGAGTGTACAGTAAGAGCAGTATATGAGTGTACAGTAAGAGCAGTATATGAGTGTACAGTAAGAGCCGTATATGAGTGTACAGTAAGAGCAGTATATGAGTGTACAGTAAGAGCAGTATATGAGTGTACAGTAAGAGCAGTATATGAGAGTACAGTAGGAGCAGTATATGAGTGTACAGTAAGAGCAGTATATGAGTGTACAGTAAGAGCAGTATATGAGTGTACAGTAAGAGCAGTATATGAGAGTACAGTAAGAGCAGTATATGAGTGTACAGTAAGAGCAGTATATGAGTGTACAGTAAGAGCAGTATATGAGTGTACAGTAAGAGCAGTATATGAGTGTACAGTAAGAGCAGTATATGAGTGTACAGTAAGAGCAGTATATGAGTGTACAGTAAGAGCAGTATATGAGTGTACAGTAAGAGCAGTATATGAGTGTACAGTAAGAGCAGTATATGAGCGTACAGTAAGAGCAGTATATGAGCGTACAGTAAGAGCAGTATATGAGCGTATATGAGCGTACAGTAAGAGCAGTATATGAGCGTACAGTATGAGCGTACAGTAAGAGCAGTATATGAGCGTACAGTAAGAGCAGTATATGAGCGTACAGTAAGAGCAGTATATGAGTGTACAGTAAGAGCAGTATATGAGTGCACAGTAAGAGCAGTATATGAGTGCACAGTAAGAGCAGTATATGAGTGTACAGTAAGAGCAGTATATGAGTGTACAGTAAGAGCAGTATATGAGCGTACAGTAAGAGCAGTATATGAGCGTACAGTAAGAGCAGTATATGAGCGTACAGTAAGAGCAGTATATGAGCGTACAGTAAGAGCCGTATATGAGCGTACAGTAAGAGCAGTATATGAGTGTACAGTAAGAGCAGTATATGAGAGTACAGTAAGAGCAGTATATGAGTGTACAGTAAGAGCAGTATATGAGTGTACAGTAAGAGCAGTATATGAGTGTACAGTAAGAGCAGTATATGAGTGTACAGTAAGAGCAGTATATGAGTGTACAGTAAGAGCAGTATATGAGTGTACAGTAAGAGCAGTATATGAGTGTACAGTAAGAGCAGTATATGAGCGTACAGTAAGAGCAGTATATGAGCGTACAGTAAGAGCAGTATATGAGCGTATATGAGCGTACAGTAAGAGCAGTATATGAGCGTACAGTATGAGCGTACAGTAAGAGCAGTATATGAGCGTACAGTAAGAGCAGTATATGAGCGTACAGTAAGAGCAGTATATGAGTGTACAGTAAGAGCAGTATATGAGTGCACAGTAAGAGCAGTATATGAGTGCACAGTAAGAGCAGTATATGAGTGTACAGTAAGAGCAGTATATGAGTGTACAGTAAGAGCAGTATATGAGCGTACAGTAAGAGCAGTATATGAGCGTACAGTAAGAGCAGTATATGAGCGTACAGTAAGAGCAGTATATGAGCGTACAGTAAGAGCCGTATATGAGCGTACAGTAAGAGCAGTATATGAGTGTACAGTAAGAGCAGTATATGAGTGTACAGTAAGAGCAGTATATGAGAGTACAGTAAGAGCAGTATATGAGTGTACAGTAAGAGCAGTATATGAGTGTACAGTAAGAGCAGTATATGAGTGTACAGTAAGAGCAGTATATGAGTGTACAGTAAGAGCAGTATATGAGTGTACAGTAAGAGCAGTATATGAGTGTACAGTAAGAGCAGTATATGAGTGTACAGTAAGAGCAGTATATGAGTGTACAGTAAGAGCAGTATATGAGTGTACAGTAAGAGCAGTATATGAGTGTACAGTAAGAGCCGTATATGAGCGTACAGTAAGAGCAGTATATGAGCGTACAGTAAGAGCAGTATATGAGCGTACAGTAAGAGCAGTATATGAGTGTACAGTAAGAGCAGTATATGAGTGCACAGTAAGAGCAGTATATGAGTGTACAGTAAGAGCAGTATATGAGTGTACAGTAAGAGCAGTATATGAGTGTACAGTAAGAGCAGTATATGAGTGTACAGTAAGAGCAGTATATGAGTGTACAGTAAGAGCAGTATATGAGTGTACAGTAAGAGCAGTATATGAGTGTACAGTAAGAGCAGTATATGAGAGTACAGTAAGAGCCGTATATGAGTGTATGTGAGTGCAATGGGGTTATTGGGTGTGTCAATGATTCCCTCTCTGTCTCTCATTCAGGTCTATTTTTAGCTACATCAGTGTCGCATCAGAGAGCAGCTCCAGGGCAACACACACACACACACACACACACGCACGCACGCGCGCGCGCACACACACACACACACACACACACAAACAAAATTTAGTGCACCTGATATTCTCAGATGTGTCATTTAAAGAGACGATTTTTTTTTAAACAAGCTCTCTTTTAAACGAGCAGGCGATATTTGGAGGATGGTCGCGGTTTTATTTTGCTCTGCTCCTTGATTTCCCGGAAGTGACGCATGCGCTGATTTGTGTTTGTTTTCCTGACAGTCGCGGCCGTGTTGCGCTTCAAACTGCCAGAAATCAGCAGACATGCAGGTAAACACTGATTAAACGCTTTATTACTGCACTTTACAGCATTAAATAAACCAGAGGACGGTGTTAACGAGCGTTAAACGCCGCTGTGCTGAGCTTTTTATGCAGATGCTAATGTTAGCATAGAATGAGCAGCTTTATTTATTCATATCAGCTGATTCATGTCAGGTAAAGATGATTTTCATATGTGAAGATGACTGTAATGACTCTGGTGTTTTCACTGAATACACCTGATATGATTCTTGCTGTTCGGAAATCTGAATGGCTGTGTGTCGAAGCTAATGCCTGCCTAGAAAGAGCGCATGTTTGTCTTCATAGGGAAGCATAAGATAAAAATCATGCTTTGGCAACTCATAACTATGATATAAAATGTCAACGTTATAACAGAAAGTCAATATTATGACATACAAAGGCGAAATTATGAGTCATGAGATACAGTCATAGCTATGACGTAAAATGTAAATATTATGACAGAATCAAAATGATGACATTCATAGTTAAGACATATTGGGATAAAATAAACTAAATTATGATGTTAAAAGTTAAATTATGACATAAAAAGTCAATAATATGATAAAAATCGAAATAATGAAAATAGTCAACAAAAAAAAACATTATGAGATAAAATGTCAAAATTGTGTGTGTGTGTTAGAGAGAGAGAGAGAGAGAGAGAGAGAGAGAGCGTGTGTGTGTGTGTTTGTCTAATGTGTGTGTGAAAGAGAGTGACTGTGTGTGTGAGAGAGAGAGAGAGTGTGTGTGTGTGTGTGTGTGTGATCACGTACAGCAGTGTGAGTCTCAGTGTTCTGCTGTATTCAGGTGTCGAGGCTCCCCTGAAATGCAGTGTGTGTTTCATGTGTATCAGAGTTTGAGCAGCAAATACACACACACCTCGACATCATCGATCATTGAGCTGATGTGTGATGATGTCATCGTTTCACTGGCACTGCTGCTGGTCATGTGATCGTGTTCACACACGTGATTGGCAGAGCATTAATGAGCAGAAAAGTATTCTCATTTGTTAAGATTTTGTTAATGCATTAGTTAACATAACCTATCAATATATTTTTGCTGCATTTCTTAACCTTTGATGATATCAGTTGATAAAAATTCACATTATTTGACAGTGTTGTTAGTTCACTAATGTGAACAGATTAGATTAGTGCAGCCGAGAAACAAGAGTTTTTATGAGAGTAACATCTGGATCTGATGGGTTTCATCACTAAATCCAGAGTTTGCCGAAAACCATTGGAAGCGCTTCAACCATATTCAGCACGAATAAAATGTGTAATGTCAGATGTCTCTCTAGTGGCCAGAACGTGTAACAACAACCATAAGGCTGAGTAATGTCGTAAATATTAAAGGGGTCATATAATGCCATTTTTGTACAAGCTAATATGATTCTTTAGGGTCTAAATTAAAAGTTTGTAATATACTTTAATTAAAAATTCTCATTAGTATTGTAAGAAAACACTTATTTTACCTGGTCAAAAACAGCTCTGTTTTCAGCACGCCGTTTCAGTGCATGTGCCTTTAAATGATCATGAGCTTCGCTGACTCCGCCTCTCTGTGCTGTGCATACACCGTTTGTAACACAATAACACAATAACCATAACGCGTTGTTCAGTATAAACGTGGAATTATGAATTATATTGAGAACGTCATACATAGAAAACATGCCGTAATGTACCCTGAGTGTAAACCTTAGACACATTCATTGTGAAGCGTGCAGCTAGCGATTTGCAAAGATTAATATATTAATATAAAGTTTAATAAAACGTTTCACTCACTTCCGTTCTTCTGGAGGTTCAGCAGGAACACGAATGTCTGGTACCGATCCTTTTTAGCAAAGCTTCTTAGCAAATCCAGCTTTATACTGACCCTCGTTTATAAAGCAGTCTGGTGAGAAATGATCCGCGCAAACATGAGAGCATTGACGTTGCTCGTGGGGAATATTCCCTTCGAAAACAAACTCAGCCACTGCGTCTTCAGCGGTTCGGATTCAGGAACATTAAAATGACTGTGTTCGTTATTACACCCAAGAACAGAACAGCACAATCGCTTAGAGCCATTCTGCTCATAGACAGTGCTCCAGCACATCAACACTGACCGCGCCGGTCCGGTCCGCGCCGCGCAGACTATGATTGACAGCTACCTCATGTGCGAGGGCGGGTCTGTGTTGAAACGCTCCCGTCAATCAACACTCGTGGGAGGGGCTTCCGTTTTATTGACGTCACAAAAACGAACGGCTGGATTTGAGGCAGGGGAAAACATATAAGGAGATTAAAACAAAACCACTGGATGGATTTTTATCATTATATGATGTTTGTGTACAGACACTGCCAACACACATTTCAGTACGATCAACTTGTAAAAGTGCATGTACCATTATATGACCCCTTTAATAATAGGATGAATTTGAGCATTTAATATTAGAACATTATTCGAATATTAAATAAAATAAGGAATGGAATTCGAATAGTATTATAGAGGAAGATTGACAGCCCTAGTAGATTTAAAGGAGGAGTTCACTTCAGAATTAAAATGTCCTGATTATTTACTCTCCTCCACATCATTCCAAAACACTCCAGGGTTTCTCCATATAGTGACTTCAATGGTCCAACGGGTCGAAGGTCCAGATGTGAGTTTCAGTGCAGCTTCAAAGTCTCGACACGATCCAGCCGAGGAATAAGAGTCTGATCTAGACAAACCAGCCGACATTTATAACAAAATACACATTTATATACTTTATAACCACTAATGCTGGTCTTGCTCTAGCTGTGATGCGACACACATTACGTGATCAGGGTGAAAGGTCAAGCGTGTTTATAAATGTAGGGCGAAAAACTCTCATCTCATTTTCTTCTCCAACTTAAAAATCATCCGACGTCGTTGTTTTACCTGTTTATTTTATTTATTTATTTATTTGTAAATGGCGTTTGATTTTGTAAACACTAGGTCGGTACTTCCGCCTTTCATCGTGATTGCGTAATGTGTGTCGCATCCACTGATCTTTTTATTATTTTTTATTTTTTATTATTGAAGAAATGTTTTACAGCAGTGCAAATATACATTTCTTAGAAATATAGAACATTTCCAAAAAAGCATCTATTATACATAGTCAAATTTTCACAATCAAAGGATACAGAACGAAGAAAAAAAACAAGAAAAAAAAAACATAAATAAATAAAAATAAATTTTAAATAAAAAAACGGCAGAGATATAGCTCATGGAACATGAAGGATCTCATCATATTTTTTCAGAAAAGACGTACATTTTCTATTATCGATTGTTCTTAATGATTTGATTAAATAAATAAAATTGAAAAAATAAAAAGTTCAGTGGATGCGACACACATTACGCAATCACGATGAAACCGTGACCTTTCACCCTGATCGCGTAATGTGTGTCGCATCACAGCTCGAGCAAGACCAGCATTAGTGGTTAAAAGTATATAAATGTGTATTGTGTTATAAATGTCGGCTGGTTTGTCTAGATCAGACTCTTATTCCTCGGCTGGATCGTGTCGAGACTTTGAAGCTGCACTGAAACTCACATCTGGACCTTCGACCCGTTGGACCCCATTGGAGTCACTATATGGAGAAACCCTGGAGTGTGTTCCTCAAAAACCTTCATTTCTTTTCCACTGAAGAAAGAAACACATGATCATCTTGGATGAGGACGAGTAAATCATCAGGAGATTTTAATTCCGAAGTGAACTAGTCAATACACAGTGTTATCATTTTAACAGTATAGAGTTTCACAGCAGCTTTACAGTGATAACAGGAGATTACAGTAACAGAGAGTGTTTAGGCTTTACAGCAGCTCTAGAATAAAGTTATTGTCCAGATAAAGTTAGTTTTGATTGATTCACTTCCGTCGTAAAGATCATTAGTGATTAGCTTAGCGGCCGCTAACTCGACACCGCGCTCGAAACCGTGTGTAATGTTGTCTTGTGTTTGTCAGATGGAGCAGTCGGCGAAGTCGTACATGTTTGCGAGTCTGACGCGGCCTCACTCCGAGCAGCTCCTGCAGGGTCTGCAACTCCTGCGACAGGACCATGAGCTCTGCGACATCGTGCTGCGGGTCGGAGACGCCAAGATCCACGCGCACAAGGTGGTGCTAGCCAGCATCAGCCCGTACTTCAAGGCCATGTTCACGGGAAACCTGTCCGAGAAGGAGACGTCAGAGGTGGAGTTCCAGTGCGTCGATGAAGCCGCGCTCAAGGTGAACACAGCGGGTCAAAGCGGCGGTTGATTATGATGTCACTTTTCTAACTGTAGTGAGTGTGTAATGTCGCTGTTTGAGCATAAACAACATCTGCAAAGTTACGACGCTCAAAGTTCAAAGCAAAGGGAGATGTTATCTTTTACAGAAATAGCTTTTTAAGGACTACAACAAACGGCTGGTATGGACTACACGAGCTTCCTCCCGGGTTAGTGACATCACAAACCGTAAAATTAGCATAAACCCCGCCCCCGGGAATGAGATTTATAGATGACAGAATATGCTAATCAATGACTAGAAGAGTTAACTCAACATCAGCAACATAAATTCATCAACTAACCATTCAGAAATGTCCTGTTGCTTCTACATGCTGTCACTTCTAGAGTCTCTCCATCTTTGTCTGACTCCGGTTTGAACATAAAAGGCTGTTCACACACAGGAGCTCTTGTAGCTCCACCCCCTGTGGCGGAGCAGCAGCTCATTTGCATTTAAAGAGACACACACAAAAACAATGCGTTTTCGCTCACCCTCAAAAAGTGACAATTTAAACATGCTGTATAAAAAAAGCTTCACACACACACACTCTGGGGACATCAGAGATTTATTTGACATCTTGTGAAAAGAGCATTATACCACCCCTTTAAATAACACATGATTTCCCATGAATCTTCTTGATGAAGCATTTTAGTTAACCCTTATGGACATTTTTATTTGATTTATCATGTTGCCTGTGTTAATGCCAACTGCATACATTTTGGTACAGGTGTGTATTTTTATTGGAATTTTAATATTTCACCCCCATTTCCTTTAATAAATCTATTTTACACTAGTAACACAAAATAGTTCCTCTCAGGACCTTAAAGACAAAAATGTCCCCATTAAAACATCAATTTTTAATCCCAGGGCCGTTTAACTATAAAATGATGCAATCTTTGTTAACAGGCTTTCATTGTGTTAGCAAGGCTTCACAATTAAAACTTTTACAATGTTTTACCAGATGCCGCCACTTTCTCAGGTTTGGCCTGTAAAGAAAAAACTCGCTTTATTCCTGTTTTATGCTTCTGCATATTATAGAGCCAATTGGATAAATTATGCAGTTGTAATTGTATGGATGTTTGTGTGTGTGTAATAAAAACAAAAAAAGTGTGCGTTTGTGTGCTTGTAATATTTGAGAGAGAAAAACTCTGCAAAGCCCAAATCTGCGCCCAAACTAACTCTCACTAAAAGCTCATTTTTTGAGATGTCAACCTCAAATTTGGAACGCGACTTGTTCAGATTTATGGCTTTGATTTTCTAGCAGTTTTAGAGGTCAACGTTTCTTTTTTTACTCCCAGACAGATTTTTTTATTGATTATAAACACAAATAAGAGTGTATAAACAAACAGTGACAAAAAGCATAGATAAACACAGTGTGGAGGACAACATGTTTCATATAATATATATTTTACATAAAATATTGTTCATCATAACTCATTTTCATAAACTTTTTTTTGGTTTCACTATTTCAACTTTTTTTTTACTTAAACAATAATCTCCCAAGGGTCTTCTTTAAAATGAGACCAAACCTAAGTGCTCCCAAGCTTCACATTTTAATGACGCACACTCTGGACCTTTGTGTAACTTGTTGTAATTGATGCACAAGAATGTTTCCGTCTCTCCATCAGGCCATAGTGGAGTACGCCTACACAGGGACGGTGTTCATCTCACAGGAGACGGTGGAGTCTCTCCTGCCCGCCGCTAACCTCCTGCAGGTCAAGCTGGTTCTGAAGGAGTGCTGCAGTTTCCTGGAGAGCCAGCTCGACGCCGGCAACTGCATCGGCATCTCCCGCTTCGCCGAGACCTACGGCTGCCACGACCTGTGCCTGGCGGCCAGCAAGTTCATCTGCCAGAACTTCGAGGAGGTGTGCCAGACGGAGGAGTTCTTCGAGCTGACGCGGGCCGAGCTCGACGAGATCGTGTCCAACGACTGCCTGAACGTGGTGACGGAGGAGACGGTGTTCTTCGCGCTGGAGTCCTGGATCAAGTACGACCTGACGGAGCGGCAGCAGTATCTGGCGCAGCTCCTGCACTGCGTTCGGCTGCCGCTGCTGAGCGTCAAGTTCCTCACGCGGCTCTACGAGGCTAATCACCTGATCCGCGACGACCACACCTGCAAACACCTGCTCAACGAGGCGCTCAAGTACCACTTCATGCCCGAACACCGGCTCTCGTACCAGACGGTGCTGTCCACGCGGCCGCGCTGCGCTCCCAAGGTCCTGCTGGCGGTCGGGGGCAAGGCCGGGTTATTCGCAACGCTGGAAAGGTGATGTTTGACATGTTTAATTAAGCGCTCTGGTGCGTTCAAGTCCTCTTTGGGGTTTCATATTAACGAGTTCTAGTCAAGTCACCTTTATTTATACAGCGCTTTTTACAGCACAGAGTGTTTCAGAGCAGCTTTACAGAGATAACAGGACAATAATGCAACACAGTTTGTTTCAAGAAGAAAATAGCGTCACAGTCCAGCTTAAAGGATTAGTTCACTTTAAAAAAAACTTTTGCTGATAATTTACTCACCCCCATGTCATCCAAGATGTCCATGTCTTTTCTTTCTTCAGTCGAAAAGAAATTAATGTTTTTGATGAAAACATTCCAGGATTTTTCTCCATATAATGCACTTTACTGGGCACCAGTTCAAGGTCCAAATGACAGTTTCAGTGCAGCTTCAAAGGGCTTTAAACGACACCAGACGATGAATAAGGTTCTTATCTAGAGAAACGATTGGTCATTTCAAAAATAAATAAAAAAGTTTAAATTTTATAGGCACAAATGCTCGCCTTGCGAACTCTCCTGTTCAAACTCGTTCATTTTGATGAACGAGTCAATGACTCGAAAAAAGATTCGTTCATTTTGATGAACGAGTTCGAACAGGAGATTCACAAACGCGAATCACAGAACATAGCAAGGCGAGCATTTGTGCCTATAAAATTTAAACTTTTTTATTTATTTTTGAAATGACCAATCGTTTCTCTAGATAAGACCCTTATTCATCGTCTGGTGTCGTTTAAAGCCCTTTGAAGCTGCACTGAAACTGTCATTTGGACCTTGAACCGTTTGCTGCCCAGTAAAGTGCATTATATGGAGAAAAATCCTGGAATGTTTTCATCAAAAACATTAATTTCTTTTCGACTGAAGAAAGAAAGACATGGACATCTTGGATGACATGGGGGTGAGTAAATTATCAGCAAAAGTTTTTTAAAAAGTGAACTACTCCTTTAAGTAAGTTCAGTGATGGTTCGTTTTTGTTGTAAAAACGTCATTAATTTAGTTAATTTATATATATCATCATCCAGTTCAGTTCTCATATAATGGTATCAGTGCAGGCATATCAATAATATTGCTGAATATTAAATTAAATGTGTGTGTGTGTGTGTGTCAGTATGGAGATGTACTTCCCGCAGACGGACTCGTGGATCGGCCTGGCTCCGCTCACCGTGCCCCGCTACGAGTTCGGCGTGGCGGTTCTGGAGCAGAAGGTGTACGTGGTGGGCGGCATCGCGACACACATGCGTCAGGGCATCAGCTACCGGCGGCACGAGAGCAGCGTGGAGCGCTGGGACCCCGACAGCAACACCTGGGCCTCGGTGGAGCGCATGGCGGAGTGCAGGAGCACGCTAGGTGTGGTGGTGCTAGCGGGCGAGCTGTACGCGCTCGGCGGCTACGACGGACAGTACTACCTGCAGTCGGTGGAGAAATACGTGCCCAAGGTGAAGGAGTGGCAGCCCGTGGCGCCCATGACCAACTCGCGAAGCTGCTTCGCCACCGCCGTGCTGGACGGGATGGTGTACGCGATCGGCGGCTACGGCCCGGCGCACATGAACAGGTACGGCAGCGATGCATTCTGGGAATTAGTCGTTCCTTTTAAAGGTGCAGTGTGTAATATTTAGGAGGATCTGTTGACAGAAATGCAATATCATAAACATAACTATGTGTTCAGTGGCGTATAAAGACCTTACATAATGAAGCGTTGTGTGTTTATTAGCTTAGAATGAGCGTTTCTCTCTACACACACCGCGGGTCCGCTTACATCCATGTTTCTACGATGGCCCTGAGCGGACAAACGCGTTTCGTCACTGTGTTGTTCTTCGTGATAAGAAGCTGCTAAAGTCAGCGAGTAAAACACTGATGAACAAGTCACAATAATATTCGCATTAACATCGTTTTACTGAATAATCAAGTAAACATAATTTCTTAATTTATCTTAGTAAAGAATCCTCAGTGTTAACTGGCTCCTCTCTGCTGTCTCAGACGATGACATCACTTCCTGTCGGCCACCGTAACTTCTGCTGGGTGCAATTCACAAATTCAACTTTTGTATTTTTTATCAAATAAATGCAGCCTTGGTGAGCAGAAGAGAAACATTAAAAAAATTATTAATACATTTTTTAAACTTTTGACTGCAAGTGTAATTTCAGTAAATATTTCAAATGTCTGTTCAGTTTAAGTTGAAGTGCTAAAATTATTAAAACTAAAATAAAAAAAAACCGACAAAAAAAACAACACGATTACTAAACCCATAAGAAATATTAATATTAGGGCTGTGCAACGATTAACCGCGATTAATCGCATCCAAAATTAAAGTTTGTGTTTACATAATATATGTGTGTGTTCTGTGTATAATTATTTTGTATATATAAACACACACACATGCATGTATATATTTAAGAAAAATGTGTTATTTATATCTAAAATATTTATATTAACCCAATTATATATAAATATATATATGCAAATATTTCTCAAATAGATGCATGTGTGTGTGTTTATAATTTTGGATGTGATTAATCGTTGCACATGCCTAATTTCAATATAAAAATTCTAAATATTAATAAATACTAATGATACTAAAATATCGTATAGTAATAGAAACACTGTTACATTCCAGGCCTTGTTTCTTATATTACTACCGGATGACTTTGATAGTTGTGTGTCTAAATGAGAAGTGTTCCACTTGAGCAGATGAGATTGTTCGAACACATTTGTAGTGAATGTTAAAGCAGGAGTTACAGTTGCTGGAGGCTCATGGGAAGGTTCTGCTGTTGTCGTTGTGTCTCCATGAACGCCGTCGCTCTCGTGAGAAGCGTTTCGCTGGAATCGTCTCTAAACACACGCGTGTTCAGGCTGGAAACAACAACACACACTCAAAGACTCATGGGACACTGTCATGGTTTCCTCTGTTTCATGCTGCCAAACTTTATTTGTCTGGTCATTAAAGGGATACTTCGGGATTTAGCATTTAGCTTTGTATTAGTAGAAAACCTGTAGTATTTTTGAATAACCGTGCTTTCCACCCTCATATCCCCCTGAGACGAGAGATTTATGTATTTTTTGTCTGGAAAAAATCCTCCGATGACGCAAAAATCGTCATTTTGCGTCATCGGAGGATTTTTTGTCCAGAGGCTAAAGACTATAGCCAGTAGTAGGGGCTGTCCCGCATGTGTTCAACCCGCCCATAGAGGGTGGAATCTCACTCACAGAATGTACACATCAGTGAGTACAAGCTAAGCTAGCAGGCTCTTGTTCTGTGGAGAAAGCGGAGTAGTAGGGGTTACCATCCTCTTTTTCCCCGGACATGTCCGGCCGTCGATGTCCGGGATTCAGCTTTTGCTTTCTGCAGTCGCCATCCATTGTTTACATGCACACCTTTTGTTTCAATCTAACTGAATTCATTCCATTGGTGAATCTGAATGTAGTGTTTACATGAACGCTAAACAAGTGATCGGTTGATGTGCGTTTTAACATTGCTAAGAAAATTCCCGCTCCTCCGTGAGAGATACGAGACCGGTGCGTCTCACAGGTGTCGCTCATCGGTAATCACGCCACCGGCCTCGCGCCGTTCTCCCGCGGCCCTCACTCGTCCTGCTCGCCACAGTAAACATGACTCGTGTCGTTCTCCCGCGGCCCTCACTCGTCCTGCTCGCCACAGTAAACATGACTCGTGTCGTTCTCCCGCGGCCCTCACTCGTCCTGCTCGCCACAGTAAACATGACTCGTGTCGTTCTCCCGCGGCCCTCACTCGTCCTGCTCGTCACAGTAAACATGACTCGTGTCGTTCTCCCGCGGCCCTCACTCGTCCTGCTCGCCACAGTAAACATGACTCGTGTCGTTCTCCCGCGGCCCTCACTCGTCCTGCTCGCCACAGTAAACATGACTCGTGTCGTTCTCCCGCGGCCCTCACTCGTCCTGCTCGCCACAGTAAACATGACTCGTGTCGTTCTCCCGCGGCCCTCACTCGTCCTGCTCGCCACAGTAAACATGACTCGTGTCGTTCTCCCGCGGCCCTCACTCGTCCTGCTCGCCACAGTAAACATGACTCGTGTCGTTCTCCCGCGGCCCTCACTCGTCCTGCTCGCCAGAGTAAACACGACTCGTGTCGTTCTCCCGCGGCCCTCACTCGTCCTGCTCGCCACAGTAAACATGACTCGTGTCGTTCTCCCGCGGCCCTCACTCGTCCTGCTCGCCACAGTAAACATGACTCGTGTCGTTCTCCCGCGGCCCTCACTCGTCCTGCTCGCCACAGTAAACATGACTCGTGTCGTTCTCCCGCGGCCCTCACTCGTCCTGCTCGCCACAGTAAACATGACTCGTGTCGTTCTCCCGCGGCCCTCACTCGTCCTGCTCGCCACAGTAAACATGACTCGTGTCGTTCTCCCGCGGCCCTCACTCGTCCTGCTCGCCACAGTAAACATGACTCGTGTCGTTCTCCCGCGGCCCTCACTCGTCCTGCTCGCCACAGTAAACATGACTCGTGTCGTTCTCCCGCGGCCCTCACTCGTCCTGCTCGCCACAGTAAACATGACTCGTGTCGTTCTCCCGCGGCCCTCACTCGTCCTGCTCGCCACAGTAAACATGACTCGTGTCGTTCTCCCGCGGCCCTCACTCGTCCTGCTCGCCACAGTAAACATGACTCGTGCCGTTCTCCCGCGGCCCTCACTCGTCCTGCTCGCCACAGTAAACATGACTCGTGTCGTTCCCCCGCGGCCCTCACTCGTCCTGCTCGCCACAGTAAACATGACTCGCGCCGTTCACCCGCGGCCCTCACTCGTCCTGCTCGCCACAGTAAACATGACTCGTGTCGTTCTCCCGCGGCCCTCACTCGTCCTGCTCGCCACAGTAAACATGACTCGTGTCGTTCTCCCGCGGCCCTCACTCGTCCTGCTCGCCACAGTAAACATGACTCGTGTCGTTCTCCCGCGGCCCTTACTCGTCCTGCTCGCCACAGTAAACATGACTCGTGTCGTTCTCCCGCGGCCCTCACTCGTCCTGCTCGCCACAGTAAACATGACTCGTGTCGTTCTCCCGCGGCCCTCACTCGTCCTGCTCGCCACAGTAAACATGACTCGTGTCGTTCTCCCGCGGCCCTCACTCGTCCTGCTCGCCACAGTAAACATAATGAATGGCGACTGTAGAACGCAAAAGCCGAATCCCGGACATTTTGGGCGATCTCGAAACACATTTTCGGGCAGACTCATCACGGAGACTCACTAGTAGCCTAGACTTGTTGCTTAACTACTGCGCTCTGTTAGCGGTGGGCGTGGCCTCCTAGGGCAGCGAAGCAAGTGCATTCTGGGAGTTGTTGTCTTTCATCCACATAAGCCAAAAATACATTTTCTGTCTTTTCTCGGTCTAGAAAGCTCAAAATTCAAAAATAATTTTACATTTCTTCTACATAAATGACCCATTTTAAATACACATTCATCTTTCCAGAGGTGAAGTATCCCTTTAATGTCGGGCGGTATTACATTCAATTCATGATATTTTAAATCCCCCTCTAGTCAATCATTTTATCCCTTAAAACTCATCTTTGATCACCAATGACACAATTTCCTTCACGCCTTTAAACATCTTGAATGTAACTCGACACCCTCGCCTCATTTAGTATGCGTGGTTCTATGAATATGCAAATGAGCCCCGCCTCCACTCACTCCCTCAGCTTAGAGATCCACTGGTTGACGATCACACGTTGATCTGATTGGTTACAAGGTCGTTTGTGACGTCAGAAACACCAGCGATTTCAAACCGTGTTTTTGAGACTGTCTTTGGTTCACTGCAGTTTTAAGGAGGAAATACTCAGCAATGCTGTCGACTTATGAACTTACACACGGTGTGTCTTAAAGCGTATTAAACACCACATAGACACATAAACAACATTAAACGCTGGATTTACACCACAGGGGGACTTTAAAGACTGTGACTGATGTTTGTTTCAGTGTGGAGAGATACGACCCGAGCAAAGACTCATGGGATATGGTGGCGCCCATGGCTGATAAGCGCATTAACTTCGGGGTCGGTGTGATGCTGGGCTTCATCTTCGTGGTCGGCGGGCACAACGGTGTGTCTCATCTATCCAGCATTGAGCGGTTCGACCCGCATCAGAACCAGTGGACGGCGTGTCGGCCCATGAGCGAGCCGCGCACAGGTGAGACCTCCACACGGCCGTCTGTGTTCATCAGTGTAATGGCACTAGGGGTGGGAATCGAAAATCGATCCCAATTCTGGAATTGGATACTTGTTATAAAATTTAAATTTTTGTGAAACTTTGTGAACATTTCAATGTGATTTTAAACCATTCAAGCGCGAGAGACTGGTGTATCAGTGTACTGGACCCGTGCGGCTCTTAAAGTGACAGCGCTAATATTCCTGCCGTCTCTATAATAACACTAATCACACAGCTGGAGACTGAGAACACACACTCGCTCTATATTCAACTATTTCACTATATTTGTAATGTATATTTTATTGATAAACTGCAGTGTTATTTTACATTTGATTACAGTTTCTGAACCTGAAAATCTTAAAACACTGTTTTATTTCAATCGTATCTTTGTTCAGTTGTTTCTGTGTTGCGATTGCTAATTTTTTATGTGTTCTTGTTTAATGACTGAGTGTTTATTGTCTTTAATAATGTTTGAAGTGTATATTAGTTCGGCTAGTCAGTCCCTCCAGAAAATTTCATATTTATGCGGGAGTCGCATTTTTTCAAATACTCCGCAATTTCGCCGCATAAATTGCTGATTTCCGCGCAAAATATGCGGGGCTTGCATGATTTCATAATCCCCGCATTTTCGTCGCAAAAAAGTCACATGACGTATATCTTAGCAGAAAGTCGGGAAATGTTGCGTTTGCGTCACACGAGAGCTGCCGTTTCCCCTGTTGCCATGGGAACGTTATGAAGTGACGTAATTACGCGACGTGGACATCATCGAAAAGCTGTAAAACAGGAGCACACTGTATTTTTAAATATTTAATTTATTCATTTTTACTGAAGTTGTAGCATATTCCTCTAGTAAAGCTACAGAACTTGTTTGATCATCAATGTTTTGTAAGTGTGATGTGTTTATTAAGGTCTTGTAACGCGATGTGTCGGGAAGAATAATAGGTATAGCTCACAGCTGGAGTTATAGCAGAGGCCAGACAGACTCACGGACACAACTCGCACTTTATTCCCAAATCGAACTCGTATAACTGTCTGTCACGTGTTCTACCGTCCACATCGTTACTTAATAAACAAAATAAGATAAAAGAAGTAGCATCAAACAGAAATGACCCGCACACATGGGGTGTTCGAGGCGCATGGCACACACAGTTCAACAGGGAGCGCGCGGCTCTTAAAGGGGCCACACCTTATTTCCACTCGTTACAGTCAGAAATAAAACGAGATGAGAAATTCAATATTCCAGCTCTTTCTGTGATGTATATGCTTGCTTATCATAGGAAGTAATAAGAAAGGACTCTTTACATTAAGGTGGTAGCCTAGTGAGAACAGGGTGTTGGGGGAATCACTTTTTTTTCTCTTTTTCATCAAACCGCAGTTTTTGCAAGTTCCCGCAATTTCATCGCAAAAAATTGCGTAAATATCCCGCATATTCCATCGCATTTTTAAAGAAAACGGGCCGCGTAATCAAGGATTTTTCCCCGCAACAATCCCAAAAAACTCCGCGTTTTTCTGGAAGGACTGGCTAGTTGTTCTTCTATGGTGTTTTTAAACCACAGGCAAACGCTCCTGTGTTCTTCAGCTGATGATGTTGGACAGATATGTAAAGCAGATGATTGATCTCAGTGTGTGTGTGTGTGTTTCTGCAGGCGTGGGCTCCGCTGTGGTCGATAACTACCTGTACGTGGTTGGCGGTCACTCGGGCTCGTCGTACCTGAACGCGGTGCAGCGCTACGACCCGCTCACGGACAGCTGGCGCGACTCCAGCGGGATGATGTACTGTCGCTGTAACTTCGGCCTCAGTGCCCTTTGACCCCGGGCGCTCGGGTGACGCTCTGCCAGAGACCGCGAGGGGAAGGAGTGTGTGTTTCTCGCTCGCCGGCGAGGTTAGCGCCGCGCGGCACAGGGACGGTTAGCGCCGCGGCTCCCGACTGACACGCGGATGAACAAGAGGCCGACAGCCTTCACTGACCGCTGAGATCCTTCCCCTGAACATTACAGGCTTCTCATGAGGGACGCACGTGTGTGTGTGTGTGTGTGTGTGTGTGTGTGTGTGAGTGTGAGTGTGAGGAGGGGAGTCAGCGCTGTGCTCTGGAGGAGTAGCACGACACTCGTGATAAGGGCTGCCTTCTGTCACTCGTGTGTGTGAGAGAGAGTGTGTGTGAATGTGTGTGGGAGAGAGAGAGAGTGTGAGTGAGTGAGTGAGTGAGTGAGTGAGTGAGTGAGTGAGTGAGTCAGTGAGTGAGTCAGTGAGTGAGTCAGTGAGTGAGTCAGTGAGTGAGTCAGTGAGTGAGTGAGTCAGTGAGTGAGTCAGTGAGTGAGTCAGTGAGTGAGTCAGTGAGTGAGTCAGTGAGTGAGTCAGTGAGTGAGTCAGTGAGTGAGTCAGTGAGTGAGTCAGTGAGTGAGTCAGTGAGTGAGTCAGTGAGTGAGTCAGTGAATCAGTCAGTCAGTGAGTGAGTGAGTCAGTGAGTGAGTGAGTCAGTGAGTGTGTGTGTGAGTCAGTCAGTCAGTGAGTGTGTGTGTGAGTCAGTGAGTGAGTCAGTCAGTGAGTGAGTGAGTGAGTGAGTGAGTGAGTGAGTCAGTGAGTGAGTCAGTGAGTGAGTCAGTGAGTGAGTCAGTGAGTGAGTCAGTCAGTGAGTGTGTGTGTGAGTCAGTGAGTGAGTCAGTCAGTGAGTGAGTGTGTGAGTAAGTGTGTGAGTGAGTCAGTGAGTGAGTCAGTGAGTGAGTCAGTGAGTGAGTCAGTGAGTGAGTCAGTGAGTGAGTCAGTGAGTGAGTCAGTGAGTGAGTGAGTCAGTGAGTGAGTCAGTGAGTGAGTCAGTGAGTGAGTGTGTGAGTGAGTCAATAAGTCAGTCAGTGAGTGAGTCAGTCAGTGAGTGAGTGAGTGAGTGAGTCAGTGTGTGAGTGAGTCAGTGAGTGAGTGAGTGTGTGAGTAAGTGTGTGAGTGAGTCAGTGAGTGAGTCAGTGAGTGAGTCAGTGAGTGAGTCAGTGAGTGAGTCAGTGAGTGAGTCAGTGAGTGAGTCAGTGAGTGAGTCAGTGAGTGAGTCAGTGAGTGAGTCAGTGAGTGAGTGTGTGAGTGAGTCAGTGAGTGAGTCAGTGAGTGAGTCAGTGAGTGAGTGTGTGAGTGAGTGAGTGAGTGAGTGAGTGAGTCAGTGAGTGAGTCAGTGAGTGAGTCAGTGAGTGAGTCAGTGAGTGAGTCAGTGAGTGAGTCAGTGAGTGAGTCAGTGAGTGAGTCAGTGAGTGAGTCAGTGAGTGAGTGTGTGAGTGAGTCAATAAGTCAGTCAGTGAGTGAGTGAGTCAGTCAGTGAGTGAGTGAGTCAGTGAATCAGTGAGTGAGTGAGTGAGTGAGTGATTGAATCAGTGAGTGAGTCCATAAGTCAGTGAGTGAGTGAGTCAGTGAGTGAGTGAGTGAGTCCATAAGTCAGTGAGTGAGTGAGTGTGTGTGTGTGTGTGTGTGTGTGTGTGTGAACACTCTCTCACACTGTTCGGTGCTAATTTCCTCTTCAGGATTCAGTTGTTTTAGTTCTTTCATCGTGTGAAACTTGATTTCCTGTTTCAGTGACGTTTGTCTCTGATGAAGCTTCATGCAATAACATCCTTCATCTTCACCCTCAGTGTGACGTGAGCGACGGGTGTGTGTGTAGCGTCTCACTGAAACACAAACTCCAGTCACACGCAGTGCCAAAACATTCCCATGTTCAGAGGAAGCGTCTCGAGGCCTGAATCGCTTCAGAGAGTCTGAATCTCGGCCCTCGAGGTCATCGCTCACACACTGAGACACTGATGATGGAGTTGTGCTCTAACCAAACCATTTTCTACTGTGTAAATATGATGTTTGAGTTCCTTTGAGGCAATAAGACTTTTTCTTCAACTAGTTTTTTATTTTTCTCATCTAATTGCCAAGGTGTTTTGGGGAATCCTGTGACCTGAACGGCTTGTGTCGCTCATCGTTCTGGATTTACACACATTTAAAGGGAAAGTTCACCCAGAATCCTTCACTCACTCTCATGTCGTTCCAAACTTGTGAGAAAGAAAGATATTTTGAGGAATGTTGTTTATCGAGCCGTTTTGGTTCCCATTGACTTCCACTGTATGATGGAAGTCAATGGTAAGTAAAACTCAACACAAGTTTGGAAGGACCACTGTTTACTGTTCACTTTGTTTTGGATTGATCTGACCGGTGGAAAACATCAGTTCAGTCGCTCTTATGTCGTTTCAAACTTGTGTTGCTTTCCTTCTTCTATGTTACACAAGAGAAGATATTTTGAAGAATGTTGTTTTGGTTCCCATTGACTTCCACTGTATTTTTGTCCATATAATGGAAGTCAGTGGGAAGTACAACTCTTAGAAAGCAACACAAGCTTGCAAGGACATGAGTTATCATTGTTCACTTTGCTTTGGATTGATCTGAGCGGTGGAAACATCCGTTCAGGCGGTTTAGTGTGTCAGAGAATGAAGGCTCAAAGGGAAACATCTGTGTTTGATTAGCAATAAGAAATATTTCCGTTCATCGCCGTCATCTATTGTGTCTCTTCATGTCCGTTTGCAATATATTTGCTGATTTTCTCTCCTAAACTAACAGAAATGCGCTGAAACGTGATTGACATCTGTCCGTCATCCGGCGTCGTTCCCTATGGATTCACACATGTGGACCTGCAGAAGGAACGGGTTTGGTGTGTGTTGGTGTGTGTCTCACCAAAGTGCTCTTGAGGGAATCAATCTAGAATGACTTTCTCTGACTGTCTTAAACTTTGTTTTGTTGTTTTTCCTGATGATGATGATGATGAAGATGATGCCACTTTTTCTGTTTCTCATGAGTCTGTCTGGCTTGTGTTTTTATAAACCTGTGGATTGTTACTGGAACTAAACCGATAACCTTAGCTACAAACGCAGTATTCATTTTTCACATTTATCAAGCGTTGAGAGAGAGAGAGAATAGCAAACTAATGCCAGTTTATTTATGTGTGTCGCAGCTCAACCAGTCAAGAAATAAAGGCCTGGAAATGTTTCTGCGTTTCTGCTTTCATATCATGTCCTTTTCCAAAGTCTTGATGATGTTTCAGGCTCTACTAGAACAGGTTTTCCTGCTTGAATGTTGATTATTCTCCTCATATTCTCCATTGTTGCGGCTCCTCTCTTCCCAGTCTGTCAGTAACGCTCTGTTTACTTCCTGTCTCTATGAAGCCCCTCCTCCTGAAAAGCACACTGTGCTCTGATTGGTCGGCTGGAGCAGTGTGTTGTGATTGGTCGAGCGCTTCGAGTGTGTTTGGGAAATGTCCCGCCCCTTTCCATAACCGCCAGTTTAACACACTACTGACTAACTCACCCAGGCCCCGCCCCTTTATTCTGCGTATGAATTATTATAATGAGGAATATTGTGACGTGTTCGTTCCCGGGAGAAACTCAAGATATAATGGAGGCGTTTCAGGAGTTCAGAAACACACTGGAGCTTTCTCATGATCACACACACTTATGTAATAATATAACATGAGTAATGTCTCGTCAGGATGTTTTCATCAACACATGATTAGAAACAAATAGATTTATTTGCAACTAAAGCAGATACAATATCTGAATAGTTTTTAATACTGATTATAAAAGTATTAAACTGCATACTCACTCATACGTAAACTAAAGATTAGTGTTTCCTAACTCTACTCATGACAACTGAAAGAAATAAAGTAAAGATTAAGAACTGAATGATCTTGATTAAAAAAAAACATTTTCTTCAGGAAATCAGAAGCGAATCATCAGCAGCAGATCAGTGTGTGTGATCAGTGTGTGTGATCAGTGTGTGTGATCAGTGTGTGTGAGATCAGTGTGTGTGAGATCAGTGTGTGTGAGATCAGTGTGTGTGAGATCAGTGTGTGTGAGATCAGTGTGTGTGAGATCAGTGTGTGTGTGATCAGTGTGTGTGAGATCAGTGTGTGTGTGTTCAGTGTGAGATCAGTGTGTGTGAGATCAGTGTGTGTGAGATCAGTGTGTGTGAGATCAGTGTGTGTGAGATCAGTGTGTGTGAGATCAGTGTGTGTGTGATCAGTGTGTGTGAGATCAGTGTGTGTGTGTTCAGTGTGAGATCAGTGTGTGTGAGATCAGTGTGTGTGTCTTCAGTGTGAGATCAGTGTGTGTGTGATCAGTGTGTGTGAGATCAGTGTGTGTGTGATCAGTGTGTGTGAGATCAGTGTGTGTGAGATCAGTGTGTGTGTGATCAGTGTGTGTGAGATCAGTGTGTGTGAGATCAGTGTGTGTGTGATCAGTGTGTGTGAGATCAGTGTGTGTGAGATCAGTGTGTGTGTGTTCAGTGTGAGATCAGTGTGTGTGTCTTCAGTGTGAGATCAGTGTGTGTGAGATCAGTGTGTGTGTCTTCAGTGTGAGATCAGTGTGTGTGAGATCAGTGTGTGTGTCTTCAGTGTGAGATCAGTGTGTGTTCAGTGTGTGAGTTCATGTCCGTAAGAAGAGAATAGTTCTCCAGTCTGTATGAATGAGACGTGAAACACTGATCCTCTGATCGAACTGCATTCAGACTTGAGTTGCATAGATGAGGTTTGGCGTCCGGCTGTTCACACACTGATCCACGGTTCCTCTGAACTATTATAGTCCATGTAACAGATTCTTGGATTCCAAGCACCACAAACACCAGAGAATCACTTAAAAATGACAAAAACCACTCAAATACAGGAGGTGTGTGTGTGTGTGTGTGTTCATCTGTCTCAGGTGTGTGTGTGTTCATCGGTCTGTGGTCCTGATGTAGACGAGTGAGGACAGGAGCAGGAGGTGTGTGTGTGTGTGTGTGTGTGTGTGTGTGTGTGTGTGTTCATCGGTCTGTGCTCCTGATGTAGACGAGTGAGGACAGGAGCAGGAGGTGTGTGTGTGTGTGTGTGTGTGTGTGTGTGTGTTCATCGGTCTGTGCTCCTGATGTAGACGAGTGAGGACAGGAGCAGGAGGTGTGTGTGTGTGTGTGTGTGTGTGTGTGTGTGTGTGTGTTCATCGGTCTGTGCTCCTGATGTAGACGAGTGAGGACAGGAGCAGGAGGTGTGTGTGTGTGTGTGTGTGTGTGTGTGTTCATCGGTCTGTGCTCCTGATGTAGACGAGTGAGGACAGGAGCAGGAGGTGTGTGTGTGTGTGTGTGTGTGTTCATCGGTCTGTGCTCCTGATGTAGACGAGTGAGGACAGGAGCAGGAGGTGTGTGTGTGTGTGTGTGTGTGTGTGTGTGTGTGTTCATCGGTCTGTGCTCCTGATGTAGACGAGTGAGGACAGGAGCAGGAGGTGTGTGTGTGTGTGTGTGTGTGTGTTCATCGGTCTGTGGTCCTGATGTAGACGAGTGAGGACAGGAGCAGGAGGTGTGTGTGTGTGTGTGTGTTCATCGGTCTGTGGTCCTGATGTAGACGAGTGAGGACAGGAGCAGGAGGTGTGTGTGTGTGTGTGTGTGTTCATCGGTCTATGCTCCTGATGTAGACGAGTGAGGACAGGAGCAGGAGGTGTGTGTGTGTGTGTGTTCATCGGTCTGTGCTCCTGATGTAGACGAGTGAGGACAGGAGCAGGAGGTGTGTGTGTGTGTGTGTGTGTGTGTGTTCATCGGTCTGTGCTCCTGATGTAGACGAGTGAGGACAGGAGCAGGAGGTGTGTGTGTGTGTGTGTGTGTGTGTGTGTGTGTGTGTGTTCATCGGTCTGTGCTCCTGATGTAGACGAGTGAGGACAGGAGCAGGAGGTGTGTGTGTGTGTGTGTGTGTGTGTGTTCATCGGTCTGTGCTCCTGATGTAGACGAGTGAGGACAGGAGCAGGAGGTGTGTGTGTGTGTGTGTGTGTGTGTTCATCGGTCTGTGCTCCTGATGTAGACGAGTGAGGACAGGAGCAGGAAGGCGGGGGGTTTGTTCAGGAGCACGAGGTTGTCGCTCCGTAAACCGTCGTAATGCATCCAGAACCCGTCGATCTGAAACGCGGCGGAATAATGATGTTCATCTCTGTTGAAGAGCGTCGCGCCCTCCAGCGAATACC